GTGATTGGGTAGGTGGGTGGGTATATGGGTGGATGGATGGATACCAGGGCCCTTCCTTGAGCTCTGGAACAAGTGAGCTGACCAGAAACCCTTTATTATGGCCACAGCATTGACGTTGACTTTGGGGTCAGGCCATCTCCAGCCCTGTCCTCAAGGAGTGTCCAGCAGTGGAGACCAGGTTCTCACACATGAACTTGTAGAGTCAGGCTCCGAGTGTGGTGCTGGGCAGACAGGTGTCCCCCAGGGATGTCACGGTCCAGTCAGGAAGACATTAGACACATTCACAACTAGCTCTGGTACCTGACAGCTGTGGTAGGGACCAGACACCACGCAAAAGAGATGTTACTTCTATTTGCAGGGGTTGGAGGAAGCTGGAAATAGGGCGACACGTGACCTGAGCTGGAGGACTAGGGTCGTATCTAATGGGTTTAACTGTGAGGACTTTGGCCCCCAGCCCCATCGCCAAGACACAGATGTAGGAGACTTCCAGAAACAGTAAAGAGACCTAGTGCGGGTGTTGGAAGGTGGACAGTCATACCCAGTCTTGAACACCCAGCCGAAGTTTTTGGCTTTTACTCTGTGAACAGTGGGAGCTATGGGAGGTGTTACACCAGGGGAGTGACATGATTAGAGCTACGGATTTGAGTGGAAATTGCCAGTGTTTGGGAGGACGGATTCACGTGGGAAGAAGCCAGACTCAGAGAGACTCAGGGGGGACGTCAGTCTCCCGACACTGACCTAGAACCAAGAGTGGGATTTCTAAGTGTTGAAGGGTTAGAGAATTCTGATTCGTTGTACATTCTGATGACCAGGATTACGCTGACTTAGAAAATCAATTAATACAGAAGTGTTTTAGAGACAGGGAGACAACTGCTGTGTGTGGAGTCCAGCCTGGAAGAAACGACAGCCTGAGGTGGCAGGTGCCGGACCAGGGTGGGGCCCCATCATTCACACACATGGGCAGGCGTGGGAAATGGCTCAACCACTTGAGAGAATTGGAAGCCCATTGCCTAAAAATTAGCAACTTAGAAATTGTCAGGCCTGTTGTATGACCAGCAATGCCACCTTCTGGTACTTGTCCGGGAGGAACAGAAGTGCCCACGAGAAGTCTCGTGTGCTAATGTCCTTAGCGGCTTTGTGCATCGTGGTCCCCAGACTAGAAATAGCCGGGGTGTCCATCAGCAGACAGACATACAGACACGCCCCGGATCATCCATGAGACGGAATACTGCTCCGCGATGGAAAGGAAGCCACCACAAATCCGCGTAACAAAACGGATCAACGTCAAAGTCAAAGGAAACGGAGCCAGACACAAAATAGTACACACCGTGTGATTCCAGTGATGTGAGCTTCTAAATTTTTTTAATGTTTTTATTTATTTTTGAGAGACAGAGAGCTTGAGCAGGGGAGAGGCAGAAAGAGAGGGAGAC